AATTAGGTTTATTTTCCGCTTTGATCACTGTTGTCTCTAGGAAGAAGGAACTCAGTGTCAAGTTGATCAGCAAGATGCAGAAACGCAGTCTGACATCAGCAATGAGGTCAGTAGAGCGCTTCAAGCGTTATGTGTTCTGTACTTTTGAAAATAATCTTTGAAGGATTTCGCGCAGATGAAAGATCGCCTGGGAATACTGAATGCCGAAAATCAGGAACTCCGTCATAAACTAGAGAATTTGCAATCTGTGGTGGATGAGGTGACAAGCTTACGGAAAGTGAGTGGTAGATGTCATTATCTGCTAACGTTTTCTTTCGGACTAGGAACAGTCTGCCAAAGTTTACTGAGGAAAGTTTGAAACTTCTCCAGGATGAAGAGCAATGGAGAGAAAAATGTTCCTTCCTCGAAAATGAGAATAGCGAGGTTCGAAAAGAGGAGAAAGAACTACTGAAGGAAATTGAAGAGAAGAAGACAGAGCTGACCAAATTGAAAGCGCAAGTGAGATCTGCTCACATTGTTTACTTTCTTGGAAATGACACGTTTAGAATGAGTCCTTGACCAGTGAGGTGGATCGCCTTCGCGCGCAAGCGAATGATTTTGAAAAAATGCGCATGAGGAACCACGACTTGGAACAACTGCAGTCGGAAAATGAACGATTGTTGGTAGAGCATAAAGTTCAAATCGCTGAGCTGAGGTCTTGCGTCGCATCGTATGAGCAGACGATAAAATCGCTGAGGGTAAGAGTAGTCAGGCTGGCTGAGAGCACAATCCTAACTGGTCATTTCAGGACTCTGAACAGGAGATGAAGAAACGAATTGATGAGAAGCTTGCTGAAGCCGAGAAGTTGGACGACGAATGTCGGGTAGGTAATCCACTTCCTTGAGGTGAAGGTCCGTGCACTGCGTTTTTCTTCAGACATTACGGAATGTAGGCGATAAGCTTAGCGAAGAAAGTGTGTTTGCCACTCTACTCAACAATGAACTGAAACTAAAACTGGCGCAAGCTTATAATGAGATAGATGAGCTCAAAGCTACAATAGACAAAGAGAGAGATGCACGAAAAGCAGAAGTGCAATCAATTTGCAGTGTAGCTGAAATTAACAAAAAGGTAAGATGAAGTGCAAATCAGAAGTAAGCAAAATATTTTTCTATAGCTATTGTTTTTGTTTTGATTGTT